ATTCTCTTGTGAAAAGTATGTAACATATCCATTCTCAAGTATTAAAGTATTCTCAAGTAATTTTTGTTTAATGAATTGTTCCAAACTCATATATAATTTACAAAAAGTTAAACACACTCATTTGATATGTACAAATGGATGGTATCTGATGAATATCTATATGCCTATCATCTCCATCAAGCTATGAAGCAGTCACGTCACCACCCCACCCTCCCTTAAAAAAATTCTTCATAAAATTTATATCCTACCCTCCACCCCAAACTAGAATTTCTGCTCCTTTATATTGGTTTTATTCTGGAATGTAATGTAAATAGATTAATAAGGTAGGTATTTTTGTGGTTGTGCCTAATGGCTTTCCTTTAGCTTACTGTGTTTGGAGAACAGTTTGTGTGAACTACTTTCAATAATTCATTCATCCTGTATTTCTGAGTAATTTTCCATTTTATTCATACTTTATTTATGAATCACCTAATAATGGACATGTGGATTATGTATAGTGTAGGGTTTAAGAATAAAGATGCCCTGAATATTCTTATATAGAAACAAAGGATATATTGCTGATGTTAGATGGACCTTAGTTGAAACAGAGAATACCAAAAAGATGTTCTCATGTGTTTTATTGACTATTCAGTGACATTCAACTACGTGGATCATAACAACTATGGATAGCTTTGAGAATTCTAGGATACTTCATAATGCTGATATAAAACTTGTACTTGTATCAAGATGGAATTGTGGGAACAGAACCAAGGAATACTACATGGTTTAAAATCAGGAGCATTGCGCAACAGGGCTGTTTCTTCTCATCATGCTTATTGAATCTGTTTGCTGAGCAAATAATAAAAATATAGAGGAAGACTTAGTAATACCTGTGCTATGCAGATGACACTACCCAGCTTGCTGAAAATGAGGAGAACTTGAAGCACTTGCTGATGAACACGAAGAATTGCAGTGTTCCGTATGGATTAAAATTCAATGTGAACACAACCAAAATCCTCATAACTGGATCAATAGGTAACATCATGATAAACAGAGAAAAGGTTAACGATTTTACAGGTTGAAGGTTCAGGATTTTGTCTTGCTTGGATCCACAATCAGTGCTCATGGAAGCAGCAGGCAAGAGATAAAAGATGTGTTGCATTGGGTAAATCTGCTGTACAAGGCCTCTTTAGAATATTGAAAAGCAAGGATGTTACTTTGAGGATTAAGGTGTGCCTGACCTAAGCCTTGGTATTTTCAGTTGCCTCCTATGCATGTGAAAATTGGACATTGAATAAGGAAGACCGAAGAATAGTCAATGCATTTGAATTGTGATGCTGTGGAAGTATATTGAAAATACCTTGGATGGCCAAAAGGACAAATTCATTTGTGTTGGAAGATGTATGGCAAGAATGTTCCTTAGAGGCAAGGGTGGCAAAACTTTGTCTTACTAATTTGGACATATTGTCAGAAAAGACCAATCTCTGGAGAAGGGCATTATGCTTGGAAGAGTAGAGTGCAAAGGAAACAGAAAAGTGAAAAGGCCCTGAAGGAGATGAATGAACACAGTGGCTTCAATAATGGGCTCAAGAATATGCACAATTGTGAGGATGGAATAGAATGGGACAGTGGTTGGTTCTGTGTTTATAGGTCATTATGAGTCAAAATTAACTCAAAGTCACCTATCAAAAACAGCTGAGGTGCCTTGGGAAGAAAGGCTTGGTGATCTACTTAAAAAAATTACTATTAAATTCCTTTTGGAGCAGTTTTACCCTGATACATATGGGGCCGTTAGGAGTAAGAATTTATTTAACTGTTTTATTAGAGTTCTTGATACTCTCTTTGTGTTCATACAGTTACATGATCCTTTTTAATCTTTGTTTATATTTTTCTTTAGCTCTGTGTTAGGCCAGTTGACTAGAGAAACAAATCCAGAGACACTCATATGCGTGTAAGAGAGAGCTTTATATCAAAGACTAATTATATATTAAGAAAACATCCCAGCCCAGTTCAGATCAAATCCGTAAGTCCAATACTAGTCCATATACCATTCTTCAGACTCATGCAGTTATATGCAATGGTGCAGAATGCAGGAAGATCACAGGCCGGTGTGTGCAAAGTCTTATGGATTCAATGATGGTAGACACAACTCCAGGGCTCTAGCTGCCATCAGAGTGGCTCCATATGTCTTGTCCACAGTAAGACGAAGAGAGAGAGAGACCTCTTCTGATGGCAGAATCAAGAGAGAAGATGTTCCCAGAATCTTCATGAAAAGGCCACGCCCACAAGGAGGCATCATCATGCTGTGGCTTGATTGACAGGCTAGACTCCACCCCTTCACTCTTAATATCGTCAAGTTGACACGAGATTATGTAACTTCCACAAGCTCTTTATGAATATTTAAACGTTGTTTTAAACTCTTTGTCTGGAATTTTTAATGTTTATGCTTCCTCTGGGACATTTTGCTACCTTTTTTAATCCTTTCTAGTTCTCTGTGTTTTTGTGATTTCTTTGTATTGTTATTGCAATGTAATAATTCTGGAAATAAAATGCTCAACCTTCCTCAGGCTTTAAATTTTAAAAAATTTTTGGCAGTATATTCTGTTGGTTGCACTATTTTTCTAAACTATATAAATTCTGAAATTTATTTTGCAGATCAGTGCTTTAAGGCAGTGTTAGCTCCATGTATCTCCTGAGATAAACAAGGATTAATCAAGCCAGACCTGCTGCATTAACACTTTCTTCCAAGTCCCAAGCTAGATTTGCTACCAACTTGTGGAAAGAAGCTTTCCAGGGAAGGAACATCCTGTTTCACAACTTCTAGATAATAAATGTGGTTCATCTAAAATCATTAAACACCATCAGTTTGAGCTGGAGTAGGAAGAAGGAAGTTTTGAATCTTCTTTAGAGGAGGATTCTCTGTTTCCAACAATGATTGTAGCAGTACATCTGCGGGGAGCTACCAAAGTTTGAGGCTGGATTCAGACGGGGATGTGGAACAAGGGATGTTATTGCTGATGTCAGATGGATCTTGGCTGATATCAGAGAATACCAGAAAAATGTTCACCTGTGTTGCCTTTGACTATGTCAAGGCAATCAACTGTTTGGATTCATAAAAGCTATGGATAATCTCGAGAAGATTGGAAATTCCAGAGTACTGATTGTGCTCATGTGGAGCTTGTTACATAGGTTAAGAGGCAGTTATAAGAATTGAATAAGGGAATACTGCATATTTTAAAATAAAGAAAGGTGTGAGACAGGGTTGCATCTTCTCACTAAACTTATTGAATCTGTATGCTGAACAAATGATCAGAGAAGCTGACTAATATAAAGAAGAATGTGACATCAGGATTAGAGGCAGAATTATTAACAACCCATAATTTGCAGATGACACAACCTTGTTTTCTGAAAGCAAAGAGAACTTGAGGCACTTGCTGATGAAGACCAAGGATTTCAGCCTTCAGTATGGATTACAATTCAATGTAAAGAAAATAAAAATTCTCACAGTTGGTCCACGATAAATGGAGAAAAGGTTGAAGTTGTCAAGGATTTTGACTTACTTGGATCCACAATCAATGCTCATGGAAGCAGTCTTCAGGAGACCAAAAGACAAGTTGCTTTAGGTAAATCTGTTGCACACAAGAACTCTTTAGAATATTGAAAAGGAAAGATTTTACTTTGAGAACTAAAGTGTGCCTGACCCAAGTCATGGTATTTTCAATCACCTCATATGCATGTGAAAGCTGAACATAGAATAAGGAAGACCATAGAATTATTGATGCATTTGAATTATGGTATTGTTGAAGAATATGATGATTATCACTGACTTCCAAAAGGACAAAAAAATCTGCATTGGAAGAAGTATGACCAGAGTGTTCCTTAGGGCCAGCGATGGACATATTTTCCACATTGTCAGGGAAGACCAGTCCCTGGAAAAGGACATTATGTTTGGTCAAGTAGAGGGACAGCACAAGAAAGGAATGTCCTTAAGGATGTGGATTGATACTGTGGCTACCACATTTGTCTCAAATATAGGAACGATTGTGAAAATCGCACAGGACCAGGCTGTGTTCGTTCTGTTGTGCTTATGATTGTTACGGCTTAGAACCAACCTGAGAGCATCTAACAGCAACAACTACAATAACTCGGTTTCTAGCTCTGATCTTTGTCGGTATTCGATGTTCACAACTCAAAAAGTGTTCCTATATTTTAGGGTAAAAAAAAAGTATATTCCTTGTAAAATCAAAATCGTCAAAATTGTCTTTTGGCACATGTTAACGATTTATTTTCAATTGCTAATGAGGGAAATCCACCACTCAGGAATGCATCTTTTCACCACACTTATTTAATCTGTATGGTGAGCAAATAAACATTTTGAAGTTAGACTATATGAAGAACTCAGAATCAGGACTGAAGGACAATTTATTAACTACCTGATATACACATGGCACAATCTTGAGTGGTAAAGTGAAGAGAACTTGAAACATTGAGTAATGAAAATCGAATATTGCAGTCTTCAGTATGTATTACAACTCAATATCAAGAAAACAAAAATCTCTGCAACTGGACCAACAGACATCAATGGAGAAAAAAAAATTGAAGTTGTCCAGGATTTCATTTTGCTAGAATCCACAATAGGAAAAGTCATGCTTGAGTAAGAATGCTAAACCAGGTTTATGATGAGTTAGCTCTCCATAGAGCAAAAAAACCAACTAAACACTCCCAATGCTACTTTGTTTTCAAGCTATAAAATCTTAACATTGTAAAAATTAATGGTTATTCTATGGGCTTTCAAGTTATCAAATCTTTGTTCATTGTGGATTTCGTTTCAATACATTTTTAACCTGGAGTATAAAATGAGAATCAAGTAGACTTAATAGCATACAAATTATATATA